TCTTGCAAAGAAAGGGTTTGCTTTTCCATACATTAATTTCAGCTGCCTCCTCTCTCCAGAGTACCATGTGCAGGACTGATATTGCTTCCCTCTGCGATATGAACATCCTCAACCCTTGTTGAAGCATAGCACTTATCTTTCAACCTTTTCTTCATAGCTCTGAAACGCTTGAGGTGCTGACAATTTTCTCTCTCTAGCAATCTATGGCATTGGGTGAAGCCCTTTTTAGAGTTTGTAGTGGTAAACTTTTTATAAATTTACTGCCTGTTTGTATTTCTAGACCATAAGTATATTACTTACTGATTTTGTTGACCTCTCACCTATTGCCAACTGCAAACATTCTCCAGATGCAGTAACTGTCTCCTGCAGATGTGAGACACTGGGGTTTGCAGTTCTTGCAGGCACAGGGTGTTGAAAGGCTGATATCGTGCAAGACGGAACTGAACTGATTAATTATCTATCTCCCCCATTATTCCAGATAACCTGGTTTCTTTCAGGACTGTTTTATTTTGTTTCTCCCTGAGGACATGGGAATAAAGTATTTTTACTCAGCCTTTCCACAGGCAGGAAGCACACTCCTGCCTGCCTCCTGGCTGAGCAGACATTCAGGACCTTCCAGGAAGCTGCTAGCCTTCTAAAATTTAGTTTGGACATGTCTCCTTAGTTCAGCTTTCATGCTTAAGACTTACCTAAGAGATTGCTTTGCCCTGGTCATAAGTAACTCTGGTGAGTTCTCCTTCTCTGTGTTCTTGGGCATGCAGGAAGAAGCTATCCCTCCAAATAGGCTCTGCAGTGTATGTACATGGGACTATTCCTGTGCACAGCTGATGTCTATTGGCAATGATTACAGTAACTGATACTGGTGTAGTAACCTGCTCTGTCAGTGACAGTTTGAATCTATTATTGCTTAGCATAATCCATGTTCTCTTTTGCGTGCATCACAGTACAAGTCCCCTGGATGCCTTTCTCAACCCTGCCAGGGATTTTTTTGCTTTTGAAACAATTTTCAGAGTTACCTGAGTACTTAGGCTAGTGTTTAGATATTCACGCCATTATTCATTCTTCAAAAGTACCAACAAATGAAGCAGGAGGTTCCTCTTTCAACCCATTTGTTCACTGGGTGAGAAATGTTGTCTTGTGCTGCATCATGAGTGAGTTTCATGAGCTCTTCAAGGCTGGTCCCAACACTGGAAGCTGGGCCAGAAGCCAGTAGTCTTTTTTTAACTCATTATTGTTCCACAAAACAGGCAATATCACTATAGAGCATCTGAGAGGTATCTGAACAAGTACTAGTTCATCTAGCACTAGCATCTAGCATCTAGTTCTGCTATGCACACAAGTATAGAATTTTCTCCTCTGCCTATACATGACTTAAGAAACAATTATACAAACCTGTGGTGCAGTTCAGTGACCTTTTAAGCTCTTTTTCAGGGTTTCATACTCGTATTTGTACTTCCTTCTTTCTCAGATTGGGACCACTCTAAGAAAAAGTTAAATTTAGTTGGCACAAGCACAAAGTAAAACTAATTTCTGATCATTTTTATCCATAAATTCATTCTGCATTAAAACAGTAACCAAATCCTGTGTACTGCAGTGCACTTCATCTTTATTTTCTGTGTTACATGTAGCAATTCTCCCCCAAATTATAATTTTCTCTTATGCTGATTTTCTAATGACACTTCCCATTTTAATCAAAATTAAACTGCAGGCTGAAAAGAGGTTTCTTTACTTTAACTGTGTTACAGAGCAAAGGGAGGCCTGCTGGCTGCACAGGAGTCTGGGAGGAGCAGAAGCCCAGCCCTGTCCATGTGGTGGACAGGTTCACCATGTGATCAGTGCTCCACTCGGAGAAGGAGTCTGACAGAGACAGGGTTAAACAAACCTTCCTCCAAGGGAGGTCAGGCAGCACACAAAGGCTCTGCTTCAGGGCAACACCAAATCAGGAGGCATTGAACAACTTCTTTGGAAAGTGGGAATGCACCTCCACAGCAGTTCCAGCCAAGCCAAGTCTGGGCTACCTGAGCCGCGTTTCTTTCTGCACTGACCTGCTGCACCTAAGTTGGTAATTGTGCAGCTGTGTGGTGTACTGGTTCAGGGCATTGAAGTAAATGGGTCTTAACTTTACCAAAATACTGATTTGCCTTCAGCCAGGTCAGATTCCTGTCGTGCAGTCAGACACAGCTAATGTTGTAACCAGAAAGAGAGACAATGTGGAAAACACGCAGCTGCAGGCAGGGAGAAAGGTGAGACAGCAGCAGCCCAAGCTTTAATCAGCTTTTATCTCTGTGGAAACACAATTTTAGTCATTCAAGTGAACTCACATTGTTCCTTAGTGCTATCATATATTGGTTTTAATAAGTTTTTATACATTTAGGTACAAGTCTGGATAAAAACCTGAATCTGTCTGTCATGCTGCAAAAGTGTTGGAATTAAACCAGTCATGTCTGCTTGATGCTGCTGTGAGGTGGTCCACTGTTTACAAAACCAAGATTCCTGTTGTTGATGTTAAAAATCCAGCAATTACTAATGCTAAGTAGCATATTGCTTTGCTATCTATTTTGATAAGACTAACTTCCACCCAGCAAAAAACCCACAAGTCTGTAATAAAGATAGATTCATACACTAGACTCTCCTGGCATTCGCTCCCAGTCTCACATCAAAGAGTTGAAAGAATAGTCAGGAAGAATTTCTGCATAAAACAACAATCTCTTCTGCAGTCACAAGCCCCAGCTGTTTCTTTCTTATAAACCCTGTTTCAGAACTGACAGAATTACAGGCTGATAAACAAAATCAGAAAAATAAGTTAATTAAAAGAGATAGGGAAGAAAAAATATTTTCCTGTCAGAGGTCAACATTAAAAACACAAAGGTTCAAGAAAGCTGGTAAGATAGCAGAAGCCGAAAAAAATGCCACACAAACTCTTAGGTTAATAACACACTACAAGTGAGTGAATATTTTAGATTCCTGAATTTCTGAAGGCTGTGTGGAGCCATCAATGACTACATAGTTTGGCTCTTTTGTGTAGTGTAATGACTAGAGATTTGCCCAGTTGTTCCTGCTGCAAGCACACCACTTTTAATTGAACTAGAGCATATGTTTAGAAAAGGCCTGGAGGACTGATCTAAGGACTTTAAGTGATGCAGACCCACTGTGTCTCTAGAGCGATTGTTCCAGTGGCTTCCCAACCTCAGGGTGAAGCATTCACATTTCCAGATGCAATGTGTTTGTGCTTTAGTTCAAAAGCACCTATGGAAGACTTCTATCCCAACAGGTTTCAAAGTTTTCTAAAGTTTTAAAATACATTTATACAGGAAATTGTCTTCCACTTCTTCTTTGAATACAACCACTTTGATGTTGAGACACAAGCCTTTCCTCCAGCATGCAACTGTACCTAGCACGTGTGCTAAATACTCAGGAAACAGCCAGAGCTGCCAGGAGTAAGGGAGAGGAGGATTTAGGAAAGTAGAATGTGCTTAAGAAGCCAGTAAGTTTCATAGCGCTAATGTAGCAATTGTAAACCTACAGAAAAGCACGTTGGACACAGAAATGAACAATTCTGGTCAGGAGTTTAATATTGGCCTTGTCCAAAAGATAATACAAGTCCAGCTGCTGGCTGAGCTGTAGCAACACACGACAATTTCAACCCTTTGACATTTCTGGTACCCATGCTGCATCCTAGAGCAAAAAGCTTTTACTAAAAAGCTTCCCTTGCAAGTTGTCAGCCTAGGGTGGCATCTTTGGCGTGACAACCTCACATCTGATAGCCTACATCTAGGTAGCACAGTGGCAAAATTATTGGAGGTACAGTCTTCAATAATGTTTATCCATGTGGTGGCTTCACCTGGCTAGCACTTGGCTAGCAGCCAAATACAGCCATTCACTCACTCCCCACTCCCCAGAAGATAGGGGAGAGAACTGGAGGGAAAGGGTAAGGCTGAGATAAGAACAATTTAATAATTTAAATAAAATAAAACTTAAAATAATACTGATATTAAAATAATTATGATAATAACTACAGTAATAAAATATGAAACCAAGTGATATTCAGTGCAATTGCTCACCACCTGCCAACCAAGCCCATCCCCTTCCCAGATAATGATCCCAGAGGAGCGACAATCCCGAACCGAAACCGCAATCCCGGAAGAACGAGAGCCAGAGTGAAAGTCAGAGCGAGAGAAAAGAGAAAGAGACCCTCACTAATATGCTGAACATGACATGATATAATATGGAATAGCCCATTGGCATATCCAAATTGGCTATGCCAATTTATTAATTTATTAATTTAAATATTCCTCACACCCCCCACCCTTAGATTTTGTGCTTGTAGACTAACAGAACACAAAGACCTTCACTTCCAGTGACAAAAATTAAAACATTGGTATGTCATCAGTGTTTCTCTCATAGCAAATCCCATGCTGAAACCAAAACACAGCACTGTTCTTACTACTAAAAAGAAACCCAGCTCTGACTCAGCTGAAAAACAGGACAATCCAGTAATTGTACCTTTTGTACATGTCTTTGATGAGAGCGACTGATAAGGCCAGGTCTCAAAGTTTGTTATCCAGACATGACTTTCAAGTGTAACTTCACAGCATGTAATTAATCTGAAGAGGCTCTTCTACCACTGTATCATGGACACGGCTGAACTCATGTTACACTAATAATAATGTATGTTACTACAAGATTTCTCTTTTATTGTCTCAGAAGGAGGTTATCTCTCCCAGTTAAAGAGCAAGAGTTAGGTGGCAAAAGAAAAAAAAAAAAAAAACCACAGAGGAAAAAGGATCAATGTGTCCTTTTCCTGGATTTTATGTTTTTCATTTGTGCAAATGATCCAGAAAAAGCCAATGCCTGGGAATTAAGTTTATTTTAAGAGCTCTCCAAATATGAAATGATTGGTTTGAAAAAAGGTTACAAACAAAATCAAGCTCTCATTTGTAGCTCACTGAAGTCCTGCTCTTTGAATCTATTTCCAAGAAGGCTGCATCCACTCTCTTCCTTCAGTGCCCACTTTGCAAGCATTCACTCTTGGAAGCAGGGACATAGAGACTGTGACCATCAGCATCAGTTTCCTCAAAGACGTAACCAGGTGGGTCTTTGTAAGAGGCCAAGCATCTGACAATGCCCTTTGGTGTGTAGCTGGTAGCGTAGGTGGTTTTAGCATCTAGCAGAGTGTGATGCTTTTGGCCTGACCAGCCAGGCTTATAGCTCTTCATAACTGTGACTGGATGAGGCACATAATGGGTCTTAAAGGTAGTCAAGAAATCCATTGGTTTTGCTGGGAAAGTCAGCTCTGGAGCATGAGTGATAGGTTTTAGTGTCTTGCACAGCTGAAGCTTATAGTCGTCCTTCATTACAGAAGAGCTACTGAATGGCTCAGTAATTTTTTTAAGCTGTTCCAAAGGTCGACACATCTTAGCTGACTTGCCCTTTGGGTGCTTGTAATCTAGCTGAGCAGTGGTATGAAGGTCCATTTTCTCCAGAGGAGGAAGATATACGTCAGGTTTTTTGGTGAATACTGGAGCCCATGGCCAAGCTTGGTATTTTTCCTGAAACTCAGTTGTAGAAGAAAATGGAAGATCATGGAGAAGCTTTGGCTGGTATGGCTTTGCCAGCTTGGCTGGCTGACCAGCCAGCCCCTTGTAAGAAAATTTGTGAGTAGTGAGGCCATCAAATGGGTCATCGCTGACCTTGTATTTCTCATATTTGTGGACATAACGTTTCTTCAGAGGATGTGGAACATAATTCACTCTATAATTAGTTACATTCTCAAAGGGAGACTTGCTTTTCTGGACCAGATTCAGAGGTTTGCAGCTTTGAGTGGTAACTGGCCCCTTGTAGAGATAATCAGCCTGGACAATGGTTCTGTGGTCAAATTTTTCTTCTGATGCACGAAACCTGTCATCTGGTCTGATCAGCTCTGTCTTTGGTTCATTCCAGTGCACATAGTCATCTGAAACATAAGAGGAATCAGTGCTCAACTGAAGTTTTTGGTGAGCTTAGGCATATACCATATTATGTTTTATTACATTTTCTACTGTAATAAGTATTTGTTGATGTTGTAATGATTGACAAAACCTATTAAAAGAGCTGCTGTAGAACAAGTTATACATTAGTGCGCTAACCTCTGAAAATCCTTAGCATCTACCCAGAAAATGGAATTAAAATAGTCCTATACCCACCCATACCTACTGAGATGGTGAAATACAACGTAGGAAGACTAAATTATATTCTCAGTCTTGCAGAAACATTTTCTGTAGGGGACTGAGTAGGTGCTGTCCTCATGCTCAGTCAACCAGAAATCATGGAAGTGGAGTATCATGGCACTGACTTCGACTGTTTCATTTACCTTCCTGCAGCTATGTTGTCTCTCGTTTAGAGCACAAGCAGAGTATGCCTGTGTCTGAAAAAAGCTGTTCAGGTGTCTCCCACAGTATCTCTAGGGCAAGGAGAACCGTATGTCCTCCATTCCACTCTAAAAGCCAGGTCGCAGACCTGCACTCCCCCTTTGTACCTTCTCATTTGGGGATGATCCAATTTCTCAACTGCACAGATGTGATGCTGCCTACTGTTTGCTACTGTTTGCTGAGTTTAGGGTTTTGCAGCTCATCTTGTTATCAGTAAGCTGTGCTGTGTGGCATTTCCTCGGCTCTTGGCTTTGCGTTCTGCAGTACTCCTGCTGTCAGTATGGGCAGGAACTGAGAAGGAGCTCGTAACTCTGTCTCCAGTTCTTCCTTATTATAAAAACACCAAGCCTACACTGATCCAAAGCACTGAATCATATTACAGAGATGGTGCATACTCCAGAAATCTTTCTATCCACATTAATGACTAAGAAAACATTTTAGGTGACATTTTAGAGGTGTACCTTCCTTTCTCAGCACGGTACCAGGAAAAACAAATGAAGCACTGAGACTTAAAAAGATTTGTCCTCAGTCACACTAGAAATCTATTGCAAAGCTGCCTAAGTCTCCAACCGGTGCTGCAGCCACAAGACCGTCATTTTTTTCCCTTCCTAGTAATCTTGTGCAACTTTCCCTAGAGACCATTATGGTTACTGGTAGGAAGTTGAAATCAAATAGCCTTGGAGCTAAACCAAGTCTTTTTTTTTTTACCTCCTTTCAAACCTCATTGAGAGTCATGAGGCAAATAAGCTTCCAGCTGACTCTGCTCAGGAAGGAAATCTGGATTTCAAAGTACTAGAGAATAAATGATGCAATTAGGTATCAGGATATTTGAACTCTCCAATCCAAACAGAGTTATTCCTTTTGAATGGCTGTACTACACAAACACAATTACACAAAGGATGTGTTCATTACAATGTGAAGTTGAACAAAAAAAAGTAATTTTTTGCCCAGATTAGGTGTCCAATGAAAGTCCTTCTCAATCAAATCAAGTTGCTCTGCTCTAGCACAAGAGAGGAAGCAGCAGCCCCAGGTGCCATGCTGCTCCCAGTGAGTACCCTGGCCCTTGGGTACAGAGTTGCCTTCATCCCACTAATTAGGGTAGTCAGCTGAGAATATGGGCCTGCCTATGTGCACCAGCATAGATATCATTTGCCATTATTGGTGCCACTGAAGCCCAGGCTGCATGCCCTGCTAGTGCCAGGGGTCTTTAAATGCCCCAGGTGCTCGTGTTCTAGGGGAACATGAGATGTCCTAGACTGCACTGCTGGGATGCTGACCTTGTGCCCGTGCCTAGGGGACATCATTTTCCTGGAGAGACAGTCCAGCAAGGTGAACCACAACCACATAGAAACATGTGTCATTACATGGAATGTATTCATAAAGTGCTAAAAAGTGAGAAGTTAGTGAGATTCAGCCCACCTCTAAGCAAGGGCTCATTCAGAGATCTGACATTTTAGATGCCAACCAAGAGTTACTAGAAAACCTTTTGGGTTCTCCCATCGTCTTTGTTGGAAAATAGTCTATACATTTTGGATGTAACCACAGCTTTTGCAAAATATTCAAAATATGATAAGCAAGTCCATCTGTCTTCAATTTTTAAAATTTACAAGCTCTACACATTTGGAGACCTCATAGGCATTATGGATTTATTTTACTTAGTGTAAGCCAGCAGTGCTACTATGCTTCAAAATATGTTACAATTTTATTGTAGCTCTAATTCTTCTCCCACAGATATTAATAGTTTCCCATGTAGCACAATCTTGAAAACATTAGCGGGTGCAGAAGGGAACAGAGGATATAAACCATATGTTATCGGAGGACTAGGCACATCTCACTATAACCAAGCAAGACAAAACTAGAATTAGATTACGTACCTGCAGATGGCTAGAAACAGCTACACGTGTAGCTTGGAGGAGACGGGAATTTTGAAACCTTAAGTTGCAAAGTCATCTGCAATCAATTGTGATATGCAATAGCTTAACTTTAAAGCTACAGTGTCATTTCGGTTATGGCGTATTTAGTCTGAAGGAGTATGACAATACAGTAAGAAGAGAAAGGTATTTAATACCAATACAGCACTGGTTTATATGCTGCTTAAATATATGAATTATGATAATTGAATAGCATGTTTCAAAATTTCACACCTAAGTAGTAAACAGTAAAACTTTGCAAAGTTTAGAGAATAGCAAAATCAAAACTTGTATTTTTTGTGAATCTGGGCCTTTAAAAGGGAATTCATTCAGTATGCAACTTGATCTTTGAGGGTGTTTGGATGAAGATTTCCATTTGCAGTGTTTTGAAAAATACTGCAAATTATAACCAAATGTGGGTGTAATACATTTTATTAGACCTCTCGAGTAACAGTTAAGGTGCTGACCTAAACACTGATAAAAGACAAAAATATACATCTGGTTCAGATACAGAGAAGTTAAGGATATCCAAACACAGAAGGAAGGATCCTCTGTCTGTGCAAAGCAGCCATTTTTTATTGGTTTCACTGAAGCTATTCCAATGAATACCATTTGGTGACATTGCTTATGCAAAACGAAGTGTTCAAAATTGTGTAAACATGAGTATTTTGCACCTGTGGGTCAGAGTCTTCACAACTCAAGTCATTCTAAATGGACAGTATTTCCTGTGTGCTTAATGTAAAAATCCCAGTTTATGCTATTGCAAACATGCAGCTGCACTGAAGTCTGACTTTCAGTCATTTTAGCTGGATAATATTCTGTTATTCATTCATATGCCTTTTATTTCCTTAGTTCCTTTATCATTTTTAGTTTCAAGAAGAAAATCGTTTCTGTACATTGGGGCAAATCTCAATGTCAGTACCAACTGTAATCTTTTATATTTGCACAACCTTTTTTTTTTTAATTAAAAAAATATTTTAAGAAATACACAAATGCTAGCTGTCTGCCTAGCAATGGTAGCTAGCTGGAAGGTGTGCAGAGGGGAGGCAAAATCCTCTGATTTTCTACTTATGACTTACTACCAGAACTAACAGTTACTCTACCGGTGTAACTGAAAGTTTTCTCCCAGCGCATGTAGAAGAGAACTTGTGCTAGTGGAGAGAAAGGAACAAAGACAAACCACCTACATCAAGTTACTGCTACTAAGAAACAAAGGCATACTTAGATGGACAGTTCACCTGATTTACCAGTATGAAAGCCTGAGTGCTTTGAACATTTGTGTGTAACTTCTGTGTATATGTAATACCCATATATGTCTCTTGCATATCCATAGGTTAACTATGCAGTACACACAAAAAGGGTCCCATGCTTCATGACCTGCTCAGACCTAGCAAATTATACGTATCTTAGATGTATCTGATGTACTGAATGTATGGACCAGCCCTGCAGTATACCAATATTAAGTTCAGTATATCCTAAAGATGATGTTGCTGGACCCACTTGCAGGTGTTCATACAGCCCTTTTACCTGGGATACCTGTAGGCCTGTCAGACATACAAAGGAGGCGAATTCAGAGAGATTCCAATGCTACCATTAACACGAGGCTGTACTCCCAACAATTTGTGTCTCTGTGGTTCCTGCATAGCTTGTTGTCATACATAGACAGAAGGAATAACTGCACTGCACAGTCTTTTGATCTGTCTTCTTAAAAAGTGAAGCTACTGGTGAAGTCCCAAAAGAAGCTGCAAGGGTATGTACCTTCGTAAGTGGTTCTTGTATCCATCTTGGCACTGGGAATGTGTTTCGTCACACATGGAAGGCATGAAGGTACTTGAGAGTTAGGGTAGGAGTTATAATCTTGTTTATAAGTGGAGGTCAAATCCATACTTTCATCACTCTTGACATACTTTTCAGGTGGTTTAGGTTTCCGTGGCAACACTTCATGAGCTATGTAATCTCCCCTGCGAAGAATAATTTCATTATGTCTTTTAACTTAAGGAAAATGTTACATTCCCTTTTCTGGACACACAAAGAAATTAATACTTCCCCTGTCTAGTATGTATGGGAAACATGAGAGAGGCAACAATAGCTTTCCCAGACAATACACTGCACAGCAGTTCAGCCCCGAATGGGGAGATACAGGAGAAGTTTCACAGCAAAACACCATATGAGGAAAGAAAAATCAGCATGGTCGGACAGTCACCTTTTTCTCACGTACCATTGTAAAAGAGCTATTTTTAGATACTGGACTAGCGATACTTGAATCCAATAAAACATTCCAGAAACAAGATGGAGAAAAAAATAACATTACTCTTTGACATTCACTAACCTGAACCTATTTCACTGCCCACACCCTTTGGTACGGGGCAGAGTCTGCTGCCTGGCACCAGTGAATTCAGTTGGAGTACTTTTCCACAGGTGTGTAGATCTGTTTACACCACAGTCAGTACAGGAGCTAGTCTAATATTAACACTGTGCTTTGCATCTGGACTGATGCTGGATGGGCAAGAGCCTGAGCCTCTGAATACACTGTATTAGCTAGGTATTTTAGCAAATAAATAAGGTTCTCCAAAGTCTGTGTGGAGCAGAAGGGAAGATAATATACATTGAAAAATTTTAGGTATAGGGGTAAAAATAGAAAAGCAGAAGTAAAAATTAAAATCCAAGAGCATCAAAAGACATGTTGTAGCCCCTTAGCATACTTTTGTCAGCAATTTAAAGCCAGTGTGTCTTTTAAGACTGGCCAAGAAAAGACAAGCAGGAACACAACAGGCATGCAGCATCCTCAGTAGCCAGGAGGGCTCAGTAACAGAGAGGGTCTTTCCCAAACCGCTGACGGTACGCTGCACAATCCCACATTTGAAACAGCTGAGCCTGTACCAGAGGCAAGTAACATATCACAGGCAGGAAATTCTTCACCTTTGTGATCAAGGGTTTTCTGGCAGTGAGAGTACCTTTTCCCACTCTGACTATTACAATATAACAGAACCTGCTGTGGAGATCACAGAGGAGAGATTGACCTGCTGATAAATCAGTAGCAACCTGCATCCAAGATGCCATGGAAAAAGGTACTGCCTGCAACTCCCAGACTTTATCAAGGGGGCTTGCTGCTGCACTACAACACCTAACACTCGGCAAAGTGTTATTAGGGAAGATTATTGACAATTCAGTGTTTTCTGAACTCACAGTCCCTGCAGTTGTTCTCATACACTGTCAGTTTATTCTCTCCTTAGTTTAGTCACCAGAACCAGAGCTTTTAGCTAAGAGGTGGTTGCATTTTTCCACTAGGCCTTGGAACTTTCATGCTGGATGTCTTTTCTTTCCAATGTTGCCCAAAGGACAGCAAGACTTGCAATCCAATGGCTAACTGTTTAGGCTTTATTTTTTCACTTCTTACAGGGGTAAGCCAGTTTCACATATTTGGTACAGTGAACGTTCTGAAGAAGCAAATCTAAGTTGTTTCTGTGCTTTCTTACTAGTCTGCTTTTCTGAAGTTGTTCTAAATTTCAGGAGTAACTGTTACCATGGGAATCACTAGCCTTACCTGAGCAAGGACAGTTTTGCTAATTGAACGTGAAGTTTCTGAGGACTCCTTGGCAGACCATGATAGCTGCCCCTCCTCGTCTGCCTTAAGAGGACACCAGTGAGCCCAGGATTTAGTTACAAGCAGACACAGAGATGTCTAGCTGCTTCATCTCATGCTGGAGATGAAAGGCATATATAAAAGTGAGGTCTGCTCTTTGAAACCCTCTGATCCTTTTGGTTATTGCTGAAAACTTCTGCATAAACAGAGGCATCTCAAATGTCAGTCAGGAATTTTGGGCTTCATCAGCCGCATTTGTGATTTAACCTGACAGCTCTGAAAAAGGCATAGGTAGGGGAAGGAGTTGGTAGAGCTTCTGTGTCAGGATGAGGACAAATGGGTGGTGTTAGCTGTTAAGACTTTATTAATAGCCATTAGCATCTCCTAGGTCTCTAATTCAGTTCAGTAAAGACAAGAGTGGTGTTGCTCATGACTGTGCCTGTGATGACAGAGGAAGTAAACATAAATACCAGGCAGCAGCTGCTGTTTGAGGAAAGGGAAGCTCTTAGATTAAAGGATCAGATTCCTATTTTTTATTAGTTTCTCCTGTGGACAAGTGCTTGGCACACCACTCTAATAGCATCTAGGAAGATGGAACAGAGCAAGTGTGAGGACTTCTGCTGAACACCAACACTAAACAACATAGCTGAGAATCAGAAAAGCCCAGCATTCCACGATTACTGCCTTGAGGAAAACACTCACACCCTCTTTACAATCAAGCTCTACCATATTCACACCTCTTTGGAAACAGTCACTCACATTACAGTGTACAAAGTGCCACACAAAACACAGAACAAAACAAAAATACTCCTCCAATTATCATTCATACTTTACTAGACAACATTTCTGATGATTTCCCAGAAGCCTTCCCAAAACAGAAAGTGAGCAACAGCCAAGACCATGACTGTGCTTCTAAATCCCATGCATTCTCTGATCAGATCACATCTCAACATCCAGGAAGTGCAAAAAAAAAATAGCTGCTTGCCTCCACTTCAACAACTGGTCTCAGACTTTCATTCCTCTTTCACAGAGTCCTTGTGAGTGTTTGTGCAACTGCAATGCTGTTCTTTTCAGGCTCTCTCTGTGAAAATCTATCATTTTTCTTTTCTCAGTTACTCGGCTCACACACACACATTTTCTAAGTCACAGTCCTCACTCTCTTTCACTATTTTTCATACTTTGTAGTCGAGATGCCTTCCATGCATAACTCTGCTATCTTCTGTGCATTCTTTGGCTTAAATGAGTCTCTGGGAACAGTGATGGGATAAGAGGGGTATCGCTCCATGTACTCTGACAGCATGCATGGCTTCTCATTCTTGTTATAGGACCTTGTGGGCAGGTGTGGACAACGATGACATCTGCAAGGGAAAAAAATAGCATAGGAGTTAGTAGCTCACAGGCAGCTGATCAATAATCCTTCTCTATCAAAGTTACTGCAGCTACAAAATAATGGATAAGTGAGCATTGCAATGACTGCTACAGCCTTGATTATTTAAAGTGCAAAAGCATAGCCTGCACAAAGAAAGAGCTGTTTCTGTCCACTACTATAGCCTGCAGTAAAAAAAGTTTATGAAGCCAACAAAAACAGCCTAAGAAAAGCCAGTTCACCTAGATGAAGAAAAAGGCAAGTTAATCTGAGATACAGCCAAGTGCACCATATTGTGCTGGACTAGAAACTGTATTTAATATCCCTTTTGTTCAATTTTTCATAATTTTATTATCCTACTTTGCCCACACATTGAGCTCACTTATGTAGACAAGTGAGCACAAAGGGTGACAATTCGGGTGTCTCTATTCACTCACACGTGGGCAGCACTGCTCGGTCCATCTCTCTGAAAGCAATTCAGTCAGCATACAGCAAGACCTCTCCATAATGTGTGTCAAAATGAGGACAGTAAGAACAAACTGAGGAAGCTCCCTCCTGACTGAAACTAAAACACTGCTATGGATTGTAAATCATACCTTCTTTCCACACTGGGACCAGGCCAGAGCAGGGTGGGCAAGGTCCATCCTGTCAAAAAGAGGGCTGGGATCCCGCCCTCAGATTTCTTCCCGGAAATATAACAGTTTATGTCCCTTTCTGGTTTGAGTCAAACCTGCTACAGTCAGTGCAAAGGTTGCTGATTAAGGACTTCAGGAATCAGCCCACAGTAATTACAGTGAGAGGGGGAGGCCTCTGGTTTTATGTCTCATACATCATGCCTGCCAAAATCAGTGTTCCCTATTGGATGTATGTTTTCCAATGCTATGCCTAGTCCAGAGCTAAATTACCCATTTGAAAGGACTTCTATACTTAACAAAGTCCCCATTAAATTAAATGTTGAGCAATCTAGGATTAGTAGATGTCTGATTACCTAAATTTATCTCTGGTCTACATTCAAGGGTACACCTTCACATACGGAATCATTTTCCAGACTAGTACAAGAGGGGAAGAAGGGACTAGAGTGCTCAAATAAAATCCAGCATATTTTTGACAAGACAGTTTCTCTTTTGGATTACAAATCCTTCTGTGAAATTATAAATTAGGAGGAGTCATAGTAGATTCATTTTTGACTTAGAGAAGTTTGGGGTTTGGACCCAAAGGGACTCCTTACAGAGAGTAAGGCAGACTATCCCCGTCAGTTAAAATAATAAAAGACTTCAGGTTGGAGATCTAAAAAAAAAAAAAAAAGATGCCCCACTCTCTTGGGAACCTTATAAAGTTCCAACTTCCATGCAACTGGAGGAGAGGTAAACAGGAAAATGGAAAAAAAATCAATATTCTCACTCACTGGTCCATGTGACTTTGGTGGAATGGATTTTGTGACAAAAATCTTCCAAACACAGGCTGTGCTGACACTTTCTGGCCACACTTTTGGTCTTCCAGCATTTCTAGGAATTTTTCCTCATTCTCCAAGGGAAAATGATCTGCCTATTCTTCTGCTTCAAGTCTGCTGGCTTCACACTGCCTCTAAGTGCACTTTCATTTCCCTACTCTCTTAAAGTCTATGATGCAGCAAGCTAGTCTTCAGTTTGGCTTTGCAGTGCGTTGATGAGGCCCTTATGTTAGCTTTTTATGGTAAAATTGCACTCATACTGGAGTGGGGGAAATAGCTATAACTAGTTCATCACGGCCCTGCATACAGTGCAGACACTGGCCAGTAGTAGCATTTTGCAAATAAAGAATGTCTGATCAGGAGAAAATCACCTCAAAAAGGAGAAAGAGGTTTGACACATTTGCATGCACACAGTCTTCACTGTGATTTTGGGCAAAAGTTTAACAAAACAGAAACATGTATTTGTAGATGTATAGTGCTCATCAGTGCCAAAAAAATTAAATGCTTGGTTTTCCAAATTCACCCTCATCAGAATGCCACCACCAGGAATCCAGGGCAGCTGGAAGGAGGGCAGTACCCTGGAAGAGGACAAAACTATGGGATTTGCTGTTACATGTCATTGTGGGTGCATCTCTTTCAAAAGCTGCACAAGTTGTCATGGTCATCTTTTTTTAGTGACATAGCAAACTCTGAGCAAGGCTCTACATTAAGCTCACTATACTCCTCATGGCCACTCTTGCCTTTATGCACAATTTTTATCTTGCTTTCCACCTATGCAACCAAGAAAATAATATCTTTCGTATGATCATCCTACTAATCTGATTTCAAATAACTGTACTACCAATACAGTTCAGAGAGCTTTGTTAACTTATCTGTACTTCAGCACCTGAAAGTTCACAAGAGGTAATTTGCAGAATTAAGTATTATCTTCCTAACTCTTTCATATATGTCCTTTTTGAAATAATGTAAGCAAAGATTAATATTGACTCATTTGAAACAGAATGTATAGCAAGTATAAAGGAAGTCTTAAAGATCCTGACTGATGTTAACCCAAACAACTGTGCAAAACCAGGCAATCATGCAGATGGAGTAACTCTTTTATGCTGTCAGAATTCACTCATCCTAGCTAAATGCAGCAAACAATGGAGAAACTGAAGCCAAAACTCAATTTCAGGGGTCCCAGGAGCAGTCTTGGAGAGAGCGCACACTAAACATTTGTGGCTGCATTACTTTTGGCAGCTGACCCAAGACATTAGCAAAAGGAAAGTCCAAACAGTCTAATAACTTTAGCAAATTATTTGTGGAAACCGTATCCTTTGAAATTGGAATATGCTCTTGACAGGAAACAGGTAGATGTCTATGTCCAGAGATGCTAAATTTGGGCGGTAATGGATTTAACTTTCACAAAATGAATACAGTAATTTATCTGTGCCCTCCAACTGAGAACAAAGTTTCATACCCCTTTCCCCCAAGAGAGCAGTCAAAACTTAATTAGACCTGTCATGAAGCACTATAATGCCATCCTCACTGCAAACCTGAGAGCTCTCAGATTTCAGCACATTAACACAATTACTGCAGATCAAATTTTACACAAACTCATTATGATGGATTTTGTGACTTACTAAAGCAAGACCTATTGAGGTCTGTCCTTGTGTGTGCATACCCACTGCACCTAACCAGCAATGACGGAGCAAATACCAATTTCTTTCACCTATTAGCTTGTATAGCACTACCATAGATCAAGTAGAGGTGCACACTTGATATTTATCTGAGATGCGACAGAAAGCTAGAAAGGTATTTCAGGTAAATAAAAAAATATATATATTTACATATACGTTCTCGGATAATTCATCTGTAAACTACAAAAATTAACCAGTTTAAGTAGATAATGTTGTTTCTGTATGTGAAACAAAGTATTTAAAGTTTTAATGTCAATAATATTACTGTAGACAGATGCCAAGAAGATTTACCTGTGCTTAGGATGCCGATGAGGTCAGTAAACCCTGACTGGGATGATGGAGGCAGGGACAACACAGTGACAATTTATTGACTCTAGTGCTGAATAGCTCAACCACATTAAAAGTTTGAAGGGCTATTACGGACTGGAAAACACCACATTTAAAAGAATGATCATTCCATAGGGAGGCATTGAATGAAGGCAACTTCCCTGCTAGACTGGTAACTATCAAGAGCTGATCGTGCAGATGAGAGGCATTGTTAGATGCTATGTCTTATTTCTACCAGTGGAGGCAAAACCAAGACCAAGTGACTCCGCAGAGGCTGCCAAAGTAGCTGTATTCAACTGTTGCTGAATTCTGTCTCCATTGGTATCTGGGCCATGTGCCCTGCAGGTTGTGCTTCCTGCCCAAGCACTAAACCAGATGAGTGCAGCAATACAGACTTTTTTATCAACAACTGAGTACAGTAAGAGGGACTCAAAACAAGGAGACAAACACATTTACCATTTGTTCAGTAGGCAAAGGACACTGATGTGAATGACAGCAAGCTCATATTGTCTTAGCCATTGCTGCCAAACTGTCTAAAGAAGTGCCATGCTCTCCTTCCAATCATAAGGGATAATAGTCCAACCACAAAAATTATGTGGCCATTTCTACTTGAAAGACACACAAGTCTAAACTAGAAATCATGCTGTATGATCATGCTTTAATGGCAGGTATCTCCCTCAAAGGTTAGAGCCAGGACAGAAACCTCTGCAAAACGAGAGGCAGGATTCTCAGACAGGATTTTCTATGAAAACTTATGGCCTTGTTCTCACTTTGAATTAGGGCTACTTTACTTTGTTCCGTGACACAGAAAGGAAAAAAACTTTTCTATGTAGATTGAATTTCCCATGTCTAAAGTAACAGGATGTCTGCCCTGAACTGTGTCTTCAAGAGTTTCTTTACTACAAATACAAGAAGAAAACTGTGCTACACATGGAGACTTCTTTGATACCTATATTACAGCCTTTCAAGTTCAGTGTGGGAAATATACTCAGTGTTTTATAAAAGACTGTCAGTTGCTGCCACATCAAATAGGATATAACATAAAAGTAAGGGTCTTTGAAATCCTTTCATCTGAAGGTATGTATTGATAGAAATCACTGTGAACTGCGGTTTTGGACTGAAACTGCCAGAACTGACCTCAGAACCAGTGCAGAAATTTGTACCTACACGCACAATGCTTCAACTGCCATTAAAAACACCAAAAATTATGATCTGGCCTTCTAGATGCCAGAGAAAAATGCAGCACCAAAGCAGAAGCAAACATTCCAATTTTAAAGAAGGCTAACAAGGAAGAACCTGGTCATTATGGGCCTGACAGTCTCAATTCAGTACCTGATAGAATTATGGAGAAGGTTATTCTGGGTATTATTGAAAAACACTTGGGAGACAGCACAGTCACTGGCCGCAGCCAACACAGGTTCACGAGTTGTCACAGAATCATAGAATGGTTTGGGTTGGAAGGGACCTTAAAGATCATCCAGTTCCACCCCCCCTGCCATGAGCAGGGACACCTTACACTA